TTTGTGGTTGTGAAGTCATGTTCAAACTCTCTTGAAAGCTGAGATCAGTGATCATGCACCAGCTGGAAGAAAGATGGCCCTAGCTCAGTGTCTTTCAAAATCTCTCCTAATGTTTTAAACATGTCAAAAACCCCAATGTTCACTCATTGCCCCTATAATTTTAGTTTGGCTTTGAATGCAGCCACTTTATTTGCTGACTTGAACACAACTGTTGTTCTCCCCTGAAGTGACAGATACAGTTTGTTAAGCAGGTTGAATATGTCACATAAGTAAGTTTTGCAACCCATTCTGGGTCATCAAAATGTGCTGTCAGTGGTGACTATTTCTCTGAAAGAAATCTCTGGAGTGGCTCTTTTTTGTTTGTTTGTTTTTGTTTTTTTAATTGTAGGTTAATTACTTTACAATATCTAGCCATAGAAAAATGGTACAGATGAACCTATTTGCAGGGCAGGAATAGAGACACAGATGCAGAGAACAGACATGTGGACAGAGGGGCAAAGGAGAGGGTGGGACTAGCATTTATACACTACCATGTGTAAAACAGATAGCTACTGGGAAGAGGCTGGGTAGCACAGGGAGCTCAGCTCGATGTTCAGTGATGACCTAGAGCGGTGGGGGTGCAGTGGGAGGGAGGCTCACAAGGGTGGGGACACGTGTATACTCACAGTTGATTCATGTTGTGCCACAGCAGAAACTAACACAACATTGTAAGGTAATTATAATCCAATTTTAAATAACTATGGCCAGTGATCTACCTTTAGAAAGCCATCTCACTTTCGTGTATAAGAAAAGACATGTGTGCTCTGCGTCAATCTCCTCATAGACCTGCATGAGTAGACGTGAGTTAAAGGCACGTACTTCAATGTGGTTTATAATTTTAATCACATCCTGCAAAATGTTAAGTTCAGGTGACATGTTTCGCCTAGCCAGCATTTCTCTATGGATGACCCAGTGCATAGCCTCACACTCAGAATCAACCTCTTTGACCCGAGTAGGGAAACCAGAAAGCTGTCCAATCTTGGCAGACACTCCATCCATGCTTATACTGACATAAAATGACCAACTTAGTTTTCCTTACATATAATCAAAGACTTGAATAGCTCTGCAGCTGCAGTGTTGGTTGGCAACAAGAATGCACATAACATATCCTTGTGCATATCCTCCTGAAAAAATTATAGCACAAAAATGAGAATCGTTGCCTTGTCGTCAGCATCGGTGGATTCGTCAACCTGGACTGCATACCATGGTGACTCATTAATCCTAACAATTGTGCCTCAATATCTTCTATTATTTCATCAAGTCGTCTTGTTACAGTGCTAGCCCAAAGAGGAACATATGCCACCTTTTGAACTGCAGTCTCTCGTAAAAGTTCATGAAAAATGTCCATAGCAGCAGGCAGGATCAACTCTTCACCAATAGTAAAGAGCATCTTAGTTTTAGCAATGCAGTTAGCCACTAAAAATGATGCTCTCAGGGCAGACACATTTGATGAAGTGGTGGCCTTCAATAATTGCTTCAGTTCTTCATGTTCACATTTTTTTCTTTTGAAAAACTCCAAAGGCTTGTGTTTTAATGCAGGGTGCTTGGTCTTTATGTGGTGAAGCAGTTTTAAATTTGCATGGCTTCACTGGACAGCCGGTCACCACATATTAAACAAAGTGGGTTTGGAGAATGTGAATCACCTCTGCAATGAAACCATCATTTAAGTAGGACTCTTGGTATTTTCTTTCAAATGCAGCTTCCTTTTTCTTGGCAATCTTACGAGTCTTCTGCAGTCTCATCATTGGGTTTTTCCCTGTTTTAAAAGAAGCTCTCCAGCAAGGTTTGTTGTTCATTTTGACTAGGGTTAAGCATGTGAACTTACCAAAACTGTGACTGAGACAAGTGAGCAGTGCAGGAAAAGAGGCATGGATGGAAGCGGTAAATAAAATAATGGGCAGGACCACACATGGACTAAAATAAGCGTTAGATTCTGACTGAAAGCCTGCCACTAGATGCAGCTTGTCACTTGTCACTCACTGATAGGATTTTGATGAGTCTGCAAGCAATTGATTTTGGTCTCTGTGCAGTCAAACTAACAATAATCTGTATTTGCAGCCACTTACCAGGGCTAGCCTCATCACCGCAACACAACCTCAGATCATTAGGCATTAGATTCTCCTAAAGAGCATGCAACCAAGGTCCCTCACATGTGCAGTTCACAATAGGGTTTGCGTTCCTATGACAATCTAATGCTGCTGCTGCTTTGACAGGAGGAGCAGCTCAGGCAGTAATGTGAGCAATGGGGAGCAGCTGTAAATAAAGATGATGCTTTGTTCACCGGCTGCTCACCTCCTGTTGTGCGGCTCAGTTCCTAACAGGCCACAGATAGAAACCAGTCCATGGCCTGGGGGTTGGTGAACCCAACCTTACCATAATAAACAAATGCCAATATAACTGGCTCCTGTTTATCTATTCAACCTCATCCTGGGCCTTTAGTTCCAGGTCATTATATTCCATTCACACTGGCCCTCTTGCAATTTGTAGAACAAGCCAGGCATCTTTCCTTTCCTGAATGATTCTTTGCATGGTTCATTCGTCAAACTGTAGATGTCAGCTTAAATATTACCTCCTCAGAGATGTCTCCCTCAACCACTGTATCAAAAGAGGCCCCTCACTATGACTCTCCATCACAGCACCCTGACCATCCCCCATATGGCACATCAGTCTGTAATAATGATTCTTTGACTGATGTCTCTCCCACTAGGCTGTAAGCACTATTAGGTGAGGAGCTCACTGCTATCTCCAGTGCCTAGCATTACCCTCAATATGGTACCCTATAGACAGTAGGCACACAAGATATATTTGTTCAGTGAATCAACAAATGAGAAGAGACAAAAAATAGAACATTAGAAAAAAAAAAAACCCTACAGACATCGTATCACACATCACAGAGACAAAAGGTGGGAAGAATAAGGGAACTCACACTTCAGTACAGGAACAGAATGACTAGGATGTACACCTAACACTAACTTAGGTATTTTACATATGTTCTCTTTCTAGAGTCTCAATAATCGGAGGTCAATATTAATATCTCCACTTTATAAATCAGGTAACTGAAGCTCAATCCGCTCAAGTAGCAAAACACGTAACAGCATCAGTTTTACCCCAGATTTGTTAACTTCTTTCCTCTAAACCATGATGCGTCCCTAGAAATTAAACTGCTGCTATATTTTTATCATGAAGTGCTTCTCTATTATACATATAAATTGTATTTACACATGAATCTATCTATCTCTACCCCAAGAACCTGTTGTTGTTGTTGTTTTTTCAGGTTCATCCTAAAGGCTATAACAAATATCTCCTGCTACCTGGAATAAGTGAAGACAGAATGCAGCAGCAAATCCAAACTACAAAGAAGTCACACATTTTGTTGGAACAATTTTCTTGAAGTCTTTATTTCTTCAGAGAGTCAAAAGCAACCATGATTAGGAAGTAAGTCTGTGTTCTGAATTAATTTTGGGGGACCTGAGGTCAACTTATACTGGCTTATTTACCACCTTTCCCTAGCCCCAAACACTGTTCTGCTGGTCGCAGAACATGCAAAGTTAAATGGTCTAGGGGGATCAGATCCACAGTCCTGATTTCATTATTAGAGACTCCAAGTATTTAAACAAACAAATGAAACCACCTGGCTTTTTACCTCCAACCACCTTTGGGTGAAGTAACCATCTTAACAGAAGAAAGGTGGGGTCTGGATGTCTCCCAAAGGTTCTACTAAGAGACTCATAAGATTATCAGAGCAGAAGGAGCCTTAGAGACCATCTTAAATTCTCTCTTTTAACAGTTTAGGAAAAAGGTTCAGACAGACAGTTACTTATTTGCCTAAGAGAAACAAGACTCCTAACTTCTAGTCAAGTGCTCTTTCCACCACAACATAGCACCTCCCTAATCAAGAACTAGTGACTGATTATGCCAAAGTACCAGTAGACAGTAGTCTAGGTAACACAGATTGTAAATCTCAAATTTTTCTCTTACTCTCCATCATTTGGAAAACTTTGAACAAAAATAATATACACAGTAAAAACAAAGGCAATGAGGAAGAGCTATTTTAATTTTGATATTAAATATTCTTCCAAAAACATTATTTTACCCCACATTTTACTGAGTTATTAGAAATAACATTAGCATTAGAAAAGCTAGGAAGATAAATGCGGTTAAACTAACATACGAAAAAGGAAAATTATAATTAAGAATGTTACAAATTTAAATTAATACAAGATTATAATTTGAAAACTGTGCATCTCAAAACAAACTCCATTCACTGAATTACTTTCAAAACAGCATTTTGTGACTCTTACACACTGATTTTTTCAAGAACAAATCTCATTTAAAAATATTTTTATTTTAAAAAATAGGCCTGGGTTCAGTGGTAGATTTTTACTCCCAAGCTTTGATCACATTTCTTTGATTTGGGAAGAAAATGCCACTTTGATGGCATGAAATTCAAATTTTTAAAGTTTATTTTTTTAAAAACAAAAATCCCAGTACAGAATTTTAAAAATTATCACTGGGAAATATATTAATGTCATTAAATGCACAATATTAATTACTGGTAAGCTAATAATGGTATTCTGTTTCTTCCCTCATTCTCCCAAGGAAAACTTGAAATTTCAGCAGAATAATCTTCAAATATACATTACTAGCAAACTGAGAGCTTCTGTTTACATATGTTTTGTATTTTGCTATTTCTAACTTTATTCTAAAACTCAATTTTACCCCCAAACCATAATTACCACATTAACTCTGTAATGCACAGTTGTTTGCAACTCAGCAAAGCAGTAGTAAACCATCAGGTTCTATTCATCCAGTGCTTAGAAAAAACAGAATTGATCACATCCATTTAAAAACAAATCTCATGGTATTTCCCAATGTATAGTTTCAATCTAAGTTCTGACAATGAAATATATGGATATATATCTATATATCTCATCTTGATCTTCAAAGGAGGCAAAGGGCGTTCACAGCTTAGCTTTGCCAGGCTGAAGCTGAAGATTTTGTAACTTCATAGCCAGACCCATATTGCCGTTGATTTTCAATTTGCCTTGAAAGAAGGCCTGTGAGGAAGAAAAAATAACATTTATTATTTGCTTTTTTTGTTTTGAGATCGCTGATATTTCTAGATTATCCATAGGGTCACAAAGAATTGGACATGACTGAAACGCCTTAGCACACATGCACTAAACTACCCAGCCCCAAGATGATTTATTTATCCAGGTCTCAAACTTTCTTCACAATATGAAACTTGGCTTTCCATAATAGATTTAGCACCTGATTCATCACAAGGATGAATTTGTAAAAGTCATGCTTTACACAGAGCAGTCAAAAGGAACACTTTTCCAAAATCTATTCTTAGAAATTGAGTCTGCCATTACCTGTCTTCCTCAAAGGAGGTACATTTTCCACATATTAGGCAGAGTGGGCTCATGCTAGACTGATTTTATTTAAAAACATTACACATTCAGTGGGTGTGCCAGCAGGGAGGAAAAGCACATGTGTAACATACTTAGAAACCTGGGATTTGATTACAGATGCATCTATGCAATGAAACATCACCATTTTTCTCCCTTTTTTGTATTCCCTACAGAGGGAGGCAGAGCAGCCTGCTGAGACTGAGGCACCTGTGTGAATCTTTGGCTCAATAAGGAGACTCAAACCAGTCCCAAGTGCAGAGATACAACTTCTTCCATTTAACAACTGCCTGGGAGGATTTTCCTGCTGGTCCAGTGGTTAAAAATCTGCCTTCCAACGCAGGGAACATGAGTTTGAACCCTGGTCCAGGTAGATTCCACATGCTGCAGGGCAAATTTAAGTCTGTGCACCACAACTACTAAAGCCTGTGCACTCTAGAGAAGATATGAATATTAGCACATTAACACAAAGGTCTCCCACATTTATCTTTAATTCCTCTGGGTGCTAACAGGTGTTCAGGAAAAGTAAGCTGACATTTCACTCTCCAAATGGGTGGTAAACAGATAAACTGAGAGGACAAAGGCAGTGGAGTGTGAAGCCTGACCACGCTACCAAGTGAGTGTATGGAGTGCACAGTGGCTGAGCTGCAGTGGGTGGGAAGGGGGATGTGCCAGCTCTGAGACTGGTGGCCTCTGTTCTTTCCAGATTTTGAAGAGGGTGCAGTGGGTGGAAATGTCAGTGTCAACGTGTGTATTCAGTTGAAATGTCATAGATGTAAGTCTCTCGCTTATCAATGCCATCAGCTGAAATGTGCTTAGTTGCTTAGAATAACCATTTTTAAAAGGAATACAAGTAGGAGTCAGATTTAGTTGTTTTATCTAATCTTTCAAATTACAAGGGTACCACAGGAACAAGACCTGAAACAAATCAGGCTGAGTCAACAACAGTTATAATGGAAATAAAGTTATAATGGAAGCAGCATCCTAGTTTCCTTTGTACTATCTACAGATAACATATATCAAGTTTATTCAACATTGTGCAACTAAAGGGTATAAGAAGACCCCAGACAACTGGAGGCCTGAAAAGTCTATACAACTCATGAATACATTTTAGAGAAATACAAATGTTGGTGCTAGTGGTGAAGAACCTGCCTGCCAAAGCTGAAGACATAGACGCAGGTTCGATCCCTGGAACAGGAAGACCCTGGAGGAGGGCATGGCAACCCACTCCAGTGTTCTTGCCTGGAGAATCCCATGGACAGAGGAGCCCAGCGGGCTACAGTTCACAGGGTCACAAAGGGTTGGACACGACTGACACAACTTAGCATGCATGCACACCAGGCACCATGTTAAGTTCTCAAGACACACGATGAACAAGATGTGGTTTGTTTCCTTGAGACAAACACAATCTAAATTTAATGGGGAAGAGACAAGCACATTATGACTAGCATAATGAATCAAGTGCTAGGCTAGCGGTCCAGCAAGTGGCCCAGAAGAGGGACTGACTATAGCTCCCCAACAATGTGGTAGGAGGTCTTTAAACATAAGATCTAAATTCATGTTATTCTGTTATATTAATATTTATTTATTTGGCTATGTCAGTTCTCACTTGCAGCATAAGGGATCTTTAGTTGCAGAATGTGAACTCTTAGTTGTAGCATGTGGCATCTAGTTCCCCGACCAGGGATCGAACACAAGCCCCATGAATTGGGAGTGCAGAGTCTTAACCACTGGACCACCAGGGAAGTCCCTAAGTTCATTTGGAAAGACAAGGAGTTTGTCAAGGAAGTCACAGCTCAGACAAAAAATAAAAGAGCACAGGCAAAGATACGAAAATAGAAGGTCTTGCCTTTGTAAACACCGGCCCCTCCTTCTATCTGAATGACTCCTGTTCTCCACCTGTACACTGCTGATTGCTAATCACTCCCAGGACAAAGCCAAGTGCTGTTTCCTCTATGAAGCCTTCTCTGACAGCCCAGGAAGATATGGCTTCTTTTCTTCCACCCTCCCCAACTACAAGCCAGACAGGGCACCATGGCTATTTGGCTCACTTATTCTTCTGCAAACCTGTCTTGTACCAAATTGTGGATGCCCTGAACAAATGAACTATTTCTTATTCATCTGGACATTTCTAGCACACAAGGCAGTGGCTGGCACATGGTTAGATCCACAACTGTTTGTCATTCACTAAGTGGACATTTGGGGAACACTGAGTTTTGTGGGTTTGACCTCTTTAGATTTTATGGGATGAGGCTGAGACAGGTGATGAAGTCAAATGGGCTAAAACCCACTTGTGTGTGTATTTGTGCTTAGTCGCTCAGTCATGTCCAACTCTTTGCAACCTCATGAACTGTAGCCAGCCAGGCTCCTCTGTCCATGAGGGTTCCCCAAGCAAGAATATTAGAGTGCCCTCCTCCAGGGGATCTTCCCAGCCCAGGCATCAAACCCAGGTCTCCTGTATTGCAGGCGGATTCTTTACCAACTGAGCCATCAGGGAAAAAACAAAACACACCTAATACAAGGATATAAGCACCATCATACATACCGTCTGAGGATTCATTTTACCAGTCATCAAAGCCAGTAAGTCCGAGTCAGCCATTGTGATTGTGCAGTCAGCCTTCTTATCTAAAACAGACATTCAGAAAGAAAGAGAAAAGGGGAGTGTTCAGTTTCATGTGTACATTTTAGTTAAAAGTCACTGACTGCAACAGAATCACACCCAGTGTTAGTGTGGGCATATGGGCATTCACATACACTCTACAGCAGCCTGGTAAAATGTGGCATAAATCACAAGCAATCTTGATATTTAGCAAGAGGGAATACATTAAATAATGATGGTATATTCATATAGTGGGGTACAATGCAGCCATTAGATGACGAGGATCTACATTTCACTGACCTGAAAAGATATTCATATTATACTGTTCATGATACTGTTACACAAGCCAGTTACAAAATGAACTGTAAGCATGAACCCACGTTTTGCTTAAAAACAGATATTCAATTATATATGTTTAGGAAAAACATCTGTAAACTTGGAGACCAATATAATAATAGTAGCTACTGTGGCACACAGACTCTAAGGTGACCCCTGTGATCGTTGCCTTCCAGTTTTCATTCATGCCTTCATATAATCCCCTACCCTCGAGTATGGTCAGGACCTGTGACTTGCTTCTAGCCTGCAGAATGTGAGAAAGGTGATGGTCTGTCATTCTTGTGTTGTATTACATTATATAAGACTCTCTCTTGCTGGCCAACTTTGTCTCACTCTCCTGCTGGCCTTGAATAAGCTAGCTGCTATACTGTGAACTATATACTGCACAGGGAGAGAGCCACATGGCAGGGAACTGGCCTTTAGGAGCTGAGGGTAGACTCTGGTCTATAACCAATTAAAAAAAAAAACCAACCTGACGCTATCATTCTTACAGTTGCAAGGAAGTTGCTTCTGCAGCAACATGATTGAGCTTATATTTAAATCCCTTCTCCAGTCAAGTCTCCAGATGACAACCCAGCCCTGGACAACACACTGACTGCAGCCTGCAAGACCTTATGCAGAGGACCCAGCTAAGCTGTCCTCAGCCAACTTACCCATAGAAGCTATGAGGTAATAAATGTGTGTGTTGTTTTAAACCACTAAGTTTGTGGTCATTTGTCACACAGTAATAGCAGATGCATACTTAGCAATATCTGGGCTTAAAATTTTTCTGCAAAGGATCAGACATTACATATTTTAGGCTTTGTGAGCCATTAGGTCTCTACTGCAACGCACCTACAGCACAACCCTGCACCTACTGCACTAGAGCAGCCACAGATGATACATAAACAAATGCATGCAGCTGTATTCCAACAAAACTATTTTCAAAACAGTAGCAGACCAAGAGGGAGAAGATGTTTGTAACTCATATATCTAACAAAGAACTTGTAGCCAGAAAATATAAAAAAAACTCCTATCACTCAATTAGAAAAGGATGGATAGACCAACACAAAAATGGGTAAATAAACAGGCACATACAAAAGATCTCCAAATGGCCAAAGATAGCACATGAAACGGTGCTCAGTTCCACTAGTCATCAGGAAAATGCAAATTAAAAGTATAGATCAGATACTACAATGTACCTACTACAATGAATAGCTTCAAAAATACCCAGTGCTGGTGAGGATGAACAGCTAAAAGGTCAATATAACGCTAGAGGGACTGTAAAATGTTACAGTCACTTTAGAAAACAGCCTGGAAGTTTCTTAGAAAGCTAAAAACACATATGTCATAAAACCTAGTAATCCCACTCTTAAGTGTTTACTCAAGAGAAATGAAAACATAAATCCACATAAAAACCTGTATATGAATGTTCATAATGACTTTATTCAAACTGCCAAAACCTGGAAAAAAGACAAATATACATCAGCCAGTGACTGGATAAACTACTCAGCAACAAAAAAGGAACAAACTACTGACAGTACACGAAAGAAGTGGGCTCAAAAAGCTGCAGGCTATCATGATTCCATTTGCAATTTATGACATTCTGGAAAAAGTGAAACCACAGGGACAGAAATCAGATCAGGGGTTGCCAGGGCCTGAGCATGAGAGAAGGGGATTGACTACAAAAGGAGACGAGGACATTTTTTTGAAATATTCTGTATCTTGATTTTTGGTAATGGCTATACAACTGTAGGCATTTGTCTAAATTCATAGAATTGTAATTTTAAAAAGGTAGATTTTATTGTACATAAATTATACCTTAAAGAACTTGACTTTAAAAAAAAAAACTAAATTACCAAAGTACTGTCAAAAATGTGGAGCAAATAAAACTCTCAATTAACACTGAAGAGTAATACAGAAGAGAATTAAAACAGTATGTCCACAAGGAAACTTGGCTATATGGTAGCTCATGAGTTAATATTTCTATTCCTGGTTATATGCCAAATGGAGATAAGTACGTATGTCCACTAAAAGACACACATGAGAATGTCTGTAATGGCTTTATTCACTAACACCCCAAAATGGAAACATGTAAAGATATATCAACCATGAACTGAATAAATAAATTCTAATGCATTCACATAGTAAAAATGAACTAACACTAAATGCAATAATATGATGAATCTTACAATAATGAAAGAAGCCACAAGTCAAATAGTAAATATTGTATGGCTCCATCTATATGAATTTCCAAAAAAAATAAAATTCAACTTATGGTGATAGAACTTGGAATAGTGGTTCCTTTGGGGAAGGATCAGAGATGGGAGGTGATATACAGACGGTTTCTAGAGTGCTGGCAACATTCTACATCTTGAGCTGGGAGATGTATTCATTTGTTAACATTTATTTCCCTGTACACTCAGATTTATGCCCTTCTTTATGGACTAGACATCAAAAAAATTTTTACACAAAACAAAAAATCAGGTGGCGGGATGAATTTGGCCCACAGGCCATCATTTGTCAACTCTTGATATATATAGATGGTAAGATTATAGGAGAGTAATTTTTTCATTTTATTTCTCTATCTTCTCCAAATTTTTTATACTTGATTATGTATTACTTATATAAAAACAAACTTTTTAAAATAATAATTTTAATACTATAATCAAAGTATAATGGCAAAAAGGCCATATCACAAAGACTCTAAATTCTTCTTGCAAAATCAGCCATGTCTACTTTGGACAAATGAGAGGTTTCAAGTGCAAAAGGAAAACTTCACCAAGAAATTAAAATGTTCAGCAGTCAGTGTTTTAGGTAACCAGTATAACAACAGTACTCTAATAACACTACAACTGATAACAGTAATAATATCAAATTATGGCCCACCAGTTAGCTAATCTTTGCCTTAATTAAAAAAAAAAAAATAGCAGTTGCTATCATCTGAATCCCCCCCAAAACTCATATGTTGAGATCCTAATGCTTGATGCTATAGTATTGGTAGGGAGGGCCTTCCGGGGTCATGACAGTAGAGCCCTTATGAATGGGATTTATGCCTTATTAGAGGCTTCAGAGACCCTGAGCCCTTCGACGATGTGAGCCCACAGTAAGAAAGCACTGGCTACGAACCAGGAAGAGGGGCCTCACTAAATGCGATCATAGCAATGTCCTGATCTTGGACTTCCAGTCACCAGAACTATGACAGATAAATTCCTGTTGTTTATGCACCACCCAGGCTGTGGTATGCTCGATACAGCAGCTCAAATGGACTCGGATGGGGATAAACTATTAAAGCATATGATGTCCGTATAATTAACTAAAACATTATTGGAAATTAAAAATTTTTGTATGTCTTAGAATGCAGGGGTAACCCTTAAAAGGACTGTGATTTAACAGCCATTCCACCTTTGCCTGTAACAAAATTTTCTCATTACATGAAAAAAGGTCTAAAGTCTTAAAAATTACGGTATTTATGGGGGGAGGGGTGGGATGGGTTGAGAGATTTGGATTAACATATACACATTACTATGTATAAAACAGATAACTAATGAGATTCTACTGCAGCACAGAGACCTCTACTCTGTGCCCTGTGGCGACCTAAATGGATGGAAATCCAAAAAAGAAGGGATGTATGTATATGTATAGGGCTTCCCTGGTGGCTCAGATGGTCAAGAATCTGCCTGCAATGTGGGACGCCCGAGTTCAATTCCTGGGTTGGGAAGACCCCCTGGAGAAGGGAATGGCAACCCACTCTAGTATTCTTGCCTGGAGAACTCCATGGACAGAGGAGTCTGGTAGGCTATATGGTCCATGGGGTCACAGAGTCAGATATAACTGAGCAACACTGACATGTTTACATAAGGCTTATTCACTTTGCTACACAGCAGAAACTGACGGTAGTGTAAAATAAGTACACTCCAATAATAAAAAATAATAACAATAAGCCTTAATACCAGGTAGAGTAATTCTTCCCACTTTATTGGTTTTTTGTAATTATTTTTAAGCTATCCTAGGGCCTATGATTTTCCATATAAATTTTTAAATAAGCTTGTCTATCACTAAGAAAAGTCTTGCTGGAATTTTGGTAGAAATTGTATTTACTCCATAGATGAATTTGAGAAGTGACACCTTTATTCAACTGAGTCTTCCAATCTAAGAATATGTTATTTCCCTCCATTCAGTTAGGTTTTCTTTGATTTCCTCTGTTAATGTTTTATAATTTTCAGCATATAGATTCTGTACATGTTTTTTAAGTGTAAATCTAAGTATTTAACTTTTTGTAGAAAACTAATAATATTAATACTACTGTGTTTTAAAAAACATTAAGGTATTTACAATTTAGAAAATCCAATTCTCTTGTAGATAGATAACATCAAAGAGCAGGGAGAAAAAAAGTTAGCAAATTGAGAGAGCTGGACTTGACTTATAGCTGGATTAGGCCCTAATATTCCAAGAAAGGACTCCTAGTGACTTCGGGAACTAAAGTGCTGCTGCTGCTGTTACTATGCCAGCACTCACTGAGTTCTCTCTATGCCGAGAGCTTCACATACCTGGACTTTATTTGATCTCAATAACCCTACGAGTATTGATAGAACTCCTCTTCCTTCACAGTTAAGGTACCATCAATTTCACCCCAAACACTCCTGGTGACTACCACCTAACAAACACTTTTAACACTGCCAACACTTAAGCTATCCTTTTTGCTTACTTGGATGGTGGTATCATCCACTCTCTTAATTGCGCTCTCTGCCTCTGATTTCTTCCTTTCTAATTAATCAGGTCTACTGCAGCAGCTTCATCCTCTAAAACACAGCTCTTGACTTTCATTTTTTTCAAAAAAGCTAGTGTTCCTTGACCACCTCTCTCAATTTCACCAGGTTCTCTTCAAAGAGAGAAACATAACATACAATATAGCTACCATTTACTGAATGCTTACTAAGCATCACTCATTCATTCTGCTGTTCATTTTTATTATCTATTGTATTGAAGGCCTACCAGGTATCAGATATTATTCTAGGCACTGTGAATGCAGCAGTGAACCTAAGAAGCAAAAGCTCTGCCTTCATGCAGCTTACAACTCAAGTGGGGGATGGATAATAAGCAAATAAATAAGATACAGTATATCAGATGGAGGTGAGTGCTATGAAGAAAAATAAGGCAGAAAAGGACAATAGGGAATGGTAATGAGGTGTGATTTAGAAGTGTGGCTGGGGAAACACTCACTGAGAAGGTGACATTTGGGCAAAAATCCAAAGCAAATGCAAGGACCAGCCATGAGGATATCTGAGGGATGATGATCCCAGGCAGTAAAAGTTCCGGAACTGGGAATACCTTACATTCAAGCCACAGCAAGGAAGCCACTATGACTGCAGCAAAGTGAGGAAGATGTAGTAAGAAAGAGAAGACTAGGGCCAATCACATGGCATGTACAGCGGAGACTGGAACAGCACTGTGAGTCAATGATACTTCAGTTAAAAGAAGAGCCAAGCATGACTTCAAGGATTTTAGACGGAGGAACTGGTTAAACAAAGGGCAATTCATCAAAATGGAATATCAGCAAGTGTCCAAGTAAATCTGTTAGTTAAGCAGCTGGATATACACCTTGGAGTTCAATGTCTGAGTTCACACTGAGATGTCTGGGAGTCACCAGTGTGGAGATGGTTTGAAAAGCATGAGATCAGATGCGAGCCCCAGGGAGTGAATGTAGATAGAACCGAGCCTTAGCGCACCAACATTTACACACTTAGAGATGAGGGGAAAACAGGGCGAGGCCAAGAAGGAACACCCAACAGGTAGGAAGAAAGCCTAGAAAAGTAATATTATCAGAACTGGGAATTAACCACTGAAGTTAACAATATGGTGGTTACTTATGACCTTGACAAGAACAGTTTTGGAATAATGATGAGCTGACAAAGGCTGACTGGAGTAGGTTCAAGAAACACTGAGATGACAGGAAGTGGAGACAGTGAGTATAGACAGGTCTTTTGAGGACATGTAGCCATACACTGACCCATGTGCTTCACAGGTTAATTAGCAGACAATTCTCTTAATCCCCGCACGAATCCTATGAAATAGGAACCATTTATTATTCCCATTTACAAATGAAAAAAAAAAACAAAGCTCAGAGAAGTGAAATAATTTAAGGCCAGAATCTGTGAGTGGCAGGACCAGGACTCTAAACCCAAGCTTGTCTAGTTCCAAAGCCTAATGCTAGCCACAGTGATGGAGCCTCTCAATCTCTGGGAGGAAACAGACAGGACCTATCCTATTCCCAAAGATTCCCCAGTGCTTCACAAGGTTCTATATCTAAAGCCAGCCCTTCTGGGGCCACCAAGGCAGGCCCCATCTTCCTCTGTGAGCTGTCAGCGAGGTCATCACTGCACCGACCTGAGTTAGGCAGCACTGATCCTTTGCCGTTCTTCACGTCCACCACCCAGGTGGCTTCTTTACCCCCAGGGCCATCCTTCACCTTGAAGGCAAAAATACCACCAATTTTCTTCACAAACTGCTCTCCTTCCTGGCAAGAAAAACAACACAGAGTTATATTAAGTTCACTCCTCTGGCTTTGCCCCCAAATTAAATGTTTAAACAGATACATGACGTGAGCTGCTGGGCAGCAGGCAAGTCCCCAGGCTCCCTTAGGCTCTTTCACCCAGAAAATCCGAAAGGTAGCCAGGCAGCAACTCCCTCATCTGCCAAATCTTCTGATTAAAATGGCTTTCTGGATACAACCAGTGGAAGGACAGGGGGATTGGGGAGTGGGTGGCACAGCAGCACTTTCTATTGCAATAGGCTTCACTTGTCTCAATAATTTCTGGAAGATCCACTCTGGCCTCTCAAAACATAGGAACCCTACCCCTTCTTTTTTTCTAGCAGGTAAATTCCTTCACATATATGTTTGGTGTTCCACAATCAGAATTTAAAGATAAGTGGTTCAACTCATTTTCTGGATTAGTATAAAGAATTATACGAGTAATATCCCATCCACCACCTACTTTAGGATCTTGGGGAATGAGGCTGAAAAAATAACCTCAGATACATATCTCTGTAGGGTGGTTTCCTTTCTCCTTCCTTTTTCCCTTCATTCCCACTCTGTTTCCTCTTTTCTTACTGAAATACTGATTGACTGAAACCATGACTGTCATGGTTGAAACAAACCAAACTTTGTTTCAGGCTCTATAGAGTCAGAAGGGTAAATGATAACACACTATGATCTCTATGATGGATGGGAGCACAGAGGACACCCTAAGCCAGGTGGCAGGGTGAATAACTCACACACTCCCCCTGAAAAAGCACACAGACACAATAACTTCATAGCAAGTAAATATAGCATACTGCAGAAAAATAGAAAATATTGATAAAGAAAAAGAAAATAGAAATCATTCACAATTTCATCACCACTTAAGAAAATAACATTTTGATATAAATCCCCTCTATCTTTTTTTCTCTGCATGTATACTTTTTAAATGGGATCACAGTGTATACTATACTGATTTGTAATCCACCTTTCAGTTTAATATATCTAGCCTTACTACTGTGTCATTAAGAATTCTTCTACATAATTTTAAATGACTATACATAGTCTTTAATTGTAGAAGTTCACTATACTTTATTCTCTGTTGCTTGATGGGCTTCCCTGGTAGCTAGCTGGTTAAGAATCCGCCTGCAATGCAGAAGACTCTGGTTTGATTCCTGGGTTGGGAAGATCCCTTAGAGAAGGGATAGGCTACCCACTCCAGTACTCATAGGCTTCCCTGGTGGCTCAGCTGGTAAGGAAACCACCTGCAATGCGGGAGACCTGGGTTCGATCCCTGGGTTAGAAAGGTCCCTGGAGGAGGACATGGCAATCCACTCTAGTATTCTTGCCTGGAGAATACCCATGGACGGAGGAGCCTGGTGGGCTACAGTCCATGGGGTCGCAAAGAATTGGACACGACTGAGTGACTCAGCACAGCACAGCTGTTGCTTGATATTTAGGTCAGTCCTAATTTCTGGCTCTTAAAACAATGCTGTAAATAACATTCTTGTATCTAAGTATTTTTATATAAACTCATTTATATAAAGTTAAACTCCAAGAATTCAACTTTGCTAATTAATAACAATGAATTTGAAACAGCATAAGTTTGAATTCTTGCTCTGCCATGTACTTATATAACCCTGAGCAAGTTAATAAACCTCTCTCAATCTGTTTTCTTTTCTGTGAAATGGAGTTAATAATAGTAGCTATCCTCATAAAGTTGTACAGTACTTAAATACCCACAAAACACAGAGTAACTGCTCAATAAATGTTAGTATTTTTTCACATTATTTCACTCTATGAGCTGTCTGCTGTTCCTGTGCCAGTATTTTAGCTTTATAAATCTACTTTACTCTTTATATAGTAAATTTCCATGTGCGTGTGTGTTATTCACTCAGTTGTGTCCAATTCTTTGCAACCCAATGGACTGCAGCCCACCAGGCTCCTCTGTCCCTAGGATTCTCCAGGCAAGAATACTAGAGTGGGTTGCCATTTCCTTTTTCAGGGGATCTTCCTGACCCAAGGATCGAACCTGGGTCTCCTGCATTGCAGGAGGATTCTTTATCATCTGAGCTACAGGGAATCCCAAAATTTCCATAATCTTCCAAATATTCTTCACTATGCTTGGATTTGTTACAACCTTTTTTTTCTTCTAGATGTACATTATAATCATTTAGTTAGTTTTTCACCCCAAAATGCTATTGGGTTTAAACAGGGTTACATAAAATACATGGATCTGTTTGATGGAGAATAATTACCTTATAATATTAAGTCCTCCCATTCATGAATATATCTTCAAGTTTTCCTTGAGGTCCCTTGGGAATATTCTGTCATTTTCCCCCCACATAAGCTTTTATACATTTCTTGCTAAGTTTATTCTTAGTTATTTTATATCACTCTTGTTAGTAATATATTTTTCATTATATTTTTACTGAATTATTGCAAATATATGGAAAATACATTGATCTTTTTATATTTACTTTAGAACTTACTACCTTTTGAGTCTTACAATTTCTAATAGCTTTTACTTCCACTTTTTTTTTTTAGCCTTACATCCCTGCAATAATTTATATCCAAGATTCTTTCTTTTGGTTAGAAGAACATAATATTTGTTCTTCTAACAAAGATCTCAGTGTTTACTATGCTCAGGCACTGTGCTAACTACCTGAAATACTCAAATAATTACTACTAGATACTCACCTCTGTTTCTATGTAGGCAGAGATACCGACCTAAGTTCTTTCTTTTTGTTGGGCCTTGTTTTTTATAACAAATTCACTGAGATATAATTTATATACCATACAATTTATCCTGTTAAAGTATATAGTTTAGTGGTATTTTAGTATATTTGAAGTTGTGCAACCAACACCAGTATCTAACTTTAAAACATTTTCATCACCCCCAAAAGAAGCCAACACCCATTAGCAGTCACCCTCTACCTCACCATTCTCTCCTTCCACCAACCCCTGCCAAATATGTCTCTACTTTCTGTCTTGGTGAATTTGCTTATTCTGGATGTTTCATACAAACAGAATTATACAATATATGATCTTTTGTGACTGGCTTCTTTCACTTATCATAATGCTTTTATGGTTCATCCATTCTGAAGCATGTATCAGAAATTAATTCTTTTTCATGACCAAGTAATATTCCAGTGTATGCAGGCAGCACATTTTGTTTAGCCATTCATCAACTGACAGCTGTTTCCCCGTTTTAACTATTATGAGTAATACTGCTATGGACATTGTGTCCAAGTTTTTACATGGACATAGATAGGCTCTAATTCCTCTTAGGTTTACATTTAGAAGTTAAAATTTATGTTCTAAGGTGATGTGTAACTTTTTGAGGAATTACCAAACTGTTTTCTAAAGTAGCTGTATCATGTTACATCCTACTAGCAACAAATGAAGGTTCCAATTTCTCCATATCCTTATCAGCACTTTTGTCTGTCTTTTTTATTTTAGTCATCCTAGTTGGTGTGTCAATCTTTTTCCTGTACACAGATAATAAACCTGAACCTATCTGGAATCAACCATGGATCTTAGGATTCCAAAGAAGCTATTCTAAAATTATTGAGTCTAGGCCTACTTATTTCAACCTCCATGGAGGCAAATCGCACATGTGAGTGTCCTGAGACCAACTACCAACATTTTCTAGTTAAATCAAGAAACCAAAATGACTGTCAGATTTTTTTTAAGTGAAGGAGATAAATTCTATTATTTTGGTTCCCTTAAAAGATCTCAAATTATTTTAAGCTAACTCTAGGAAAAATTATTAATAACAATAACAATCTTTGGGCAGCTATAAAGTTTTCAAGTGCTTTTTTTTTAAGTGTTTTTTATATACATTATTTCTTTAATTTTCATAAAACCCCCTGTAAGTAGCTGGACAGGTATTAATATTAGCTCATTAGGCAGAAACAACAGCTAGGGATCTAAAAGGTTAAGAACCCTTTAGACTATTCTCTATCCTATTGCCAACTAACCCACCTAATACAAACCCACCTAACACTAACATAAATATCACTTTCAGATTTGAATTTGGATGGCTCCCCACAGCCTACAGGATAGTCTGTCTTTATATATCATTCTAGAGTCTTCGTAACCTGAAGGATATTTATATGTTCTTACCTTCAGCCCTTTTTTCATCCTCCTCAGGGCTTTTTTGTTCTGACCATTTCGAATGCCATGAACATATGTGCTTCTGTGCCCTTACTTATGCCGTCTGAGTTCACTCACCTCTTCCTATTCTCCATTGCGACCCAACTTCACCAATTCAAGTCTCAGTTCACATGCTAACGCCTCTGGAAAGGCTTTTCTTTCTCTGCTGGACACTTTGATAGCCCTTTGCACATAACCTACATGCAGGTTTCTTGTCAAAGCCATGTTTTTTTCCCTAGGAAATTTTTGCCATGTCTGTCTTACCACTAAACTTTAATGTTCCTTGAGGGGAAGTGACATATGACAAGTAAGTAATACAACCAGAACTCAAATTCAGGTCGGTTTAACTTCAAATTCAATGCTCTTTCCATTTACTCATACCATATGGCAAAGTTGGTTACATCAATACTTCCAAACTTTAGCCTATAAAAGTAGTTTCTGTCACCATGCATAAATTAAAAGAAAGTTCAAAGTCTTTTCCACATTCCTTAAAATCCTTTATCCTTCAGGGTTCTGCAGAGGTAACCTAGAAAAGTAGATTAGTAATGCTGGTGTCTGGGCCACCCAAAGAGCCAGGCCTCCTCTGGAGCCACCAGCACAGGAACAAACACTTCCTGCTGCATCTATGACATCTGCTTGCACAATGCCTCAGGAATAGTTATGGCAGACGCCAAGTTAGAGCAGGAAAGCACAGCAAATGTTTAGAAACTCTACCCGAATACTTGGAAATTTCTCCCACTTCCTTAAGACAGATGTAGATTAACTTTGTGTCTGCTGTTACTTTTGAGAACCAACTGATCCTCTTCGAATCCTTTAGCCAATAAGACATTTTCAATTGAAGAGGGAGTGAGAGAGGGTTAGGAAATGAACAAGGAGAGAGTTAAAAAGTGTAAAGAAACTACACATCTTTTGCGAAACTGGAGATCACAAATAGTTCTAAGTGCCTCCTTACTTGAAGAAAAGTACTTCTTTTTGAGTAGCAAAAGGTCAAGGAGTAGGTCCTGTGGTAAACTGAATAGGAACAAAAAATTAATACAGAATTCAAAGAAGGGCAATGGGGTACTGCTAACAAAGACAAAAGTGGAAATAAAATCTCTTGCCAGATTTCTTTTTTCCTAATGCAGAAAATGTATGAATTGACAAAAGATTCCAATACTTTCACTTTCTGGCACAGCAAACATTTAGAAAACTGACAATCATGAGAAGGAGGGAAAAAATAAGGGGACAAGGTCCACACAAGAGAGGTTACAGAGGGAGAAGAATTAAAATGGGAGAAAGAGGCAAACATTTGCAAAGTTAAAAGAATATTGTGAAATAAAAACACCACTGTTTTGTTAATCCCAATAATGAAGTATTTAATGGTTGACATATAGACATACCAGATACTCTCTAAACTTTTTTTTTGACAGAATAATGGTAAAAAATGGGAAAACCTGGCAGAAGTAACTATCTTATGGGATACCCTGAAGGCAAATACTGATGTCATTAAAAAATTTTTTTTCAGGCATTAGCAAGTCCAACTTCATCTTAGTGGACACTTGTAATGAAAGAAATTTCAAAAACAATAAGCAGATATACTTTTCTACTCTTGGGAAAGGTTTTTCACAAAACCAGTCAACAAAGCACTGGAGATAGGGTGAGGAAAAAACAGTCAATCTCATGAACTATCATTGAGTCTGTAAATTAGTAAGTACCCTCTTTTTGGTGGATATGTATCATGGCATTAAGTACCTAAAGATGAGTGCAAAAGGAAATTTATTACACCTTTATTTTTTGCAAGATTTAAATACAACCCAATGTTCATCACAAGAGACTAGTTAAACAGATTGTGATATTTATAATCAAACGCGTACTTCGGGTCATTAAAACTGATGGTAAGGGTTTATATCTATGAGTAAGGAACATACTATCAAGAAATAAGCTGGTTATAAAACAACAAGTAGACCAATGCAGGTGTATCCTTGCAAGATGGTGGCAGAATAGGTCTGCAAGCTGCTGGGCCAGTGCCTGCCTGCTGGAAACAGTCAACCCTGGCCCTCTCTACCTCAGGAAGACTGGTGATCATTACGAAAATTCTTGAAATGCAGGGTACTTTGTCAAGACATGTCAGTCACATTAGCTATTCAGTGCAATCACACCCACAGCACAATCATCTTAAGATGTTAAGAAATCCTTTGTGTTACAATAAGGGAGCTTCAAGATATGTACAAGATAGGCACAATGTCTTCACACTGTGCCTCTAACATGAGCGAACTTCACACTTTAAATGTTTAGAATCTTTTTATTTCAGCCCACTGGTCAGTTTCATAGATGTGTAAAATTAAAATCAATTATGAAATTCCAATGTCTTTAATGAAACAATGAAGTAAACGTCTAATTTTACCCAAGGGAACAACTCTCTTTTTGGAGAAAGAGTTACTATTAGGTTGCTTTAGTATGATTATTATCTATCAAGAACTAATTACTGAAAATAAACATAGGTCTGCACATATAAATTTAAAAATTCAACATGTATTGTATGATCCTGGTTATGTAAAACTGTATATTCATATACACAGAGAGAATATCAGCTACTGTTAACACTTTAGAAGGCTCTCAGTAATGGCATTTCAGGAGATGTTAAATTTTTCTTATTTGTATGTTTCTGTATAATTCTCTTGATGACATTTTTACAAGAAAAACAGATTTGAAAACTCTGAAAAACTCAAACGCAAAAAATTTCTTTTTAAAAGGACTTTTAACATTAGATGCTTTTGCTGCGGCTGCTAAGTTGCTTCAGTCATGTCCGACTCTGTGCGACCCCATACGGCAGCCCACCAGGTTAAGGCTCCTTAAATATTATTCTTTTGAATGATTCTAAGTAAGATCTTTTTAATCCAGAAGGAAATTACACCAAAACAGATTTTAATCCCTTTATATAACTCAAATCTGGAGATTTACATATCTCTGAATGCACTTTTACCAGAATTACAAGGAAGCCATAACAGACACTGAGAAATCTAAAATACACTCGATACTTGACAATATGATATAAATTTTCAACTTATACCACTTCATGGCAACACTCGAAATCTGTATCTGCTTCCACTAGCCCAGGGTCCTCCTGGTAGTATTTTACATAAATTGTACTTACATCTTCAAGCTTCTTCTCAATCTCCTTAAAGACAAGATTTGCCTTAAATCCATCAACAGCAGAGCTGGTTGGAGCAGCCTCAATTTGATGAGTTCTAAAAGAACTGAGGAAAATAATCGATTTCAATCCATGGAGCCACATAGGTACTAGGTACTAGGTTTTTCAACATTTATATAGTAAATGCTGTATGTTAGTCACTCAGTCGCGTCTGACTTTTCATGACGCCATGGACTCTAACTCACCAGGTTCCTCTGTCCATGGAATTCTCCAGGCAAGAATACTGGAGTAGGTTGCCATTTCCTTCTCCAGATGACCTTAACTACCAGGGACCTTCCCAATCAGGGACTGAACCCAGGTCTTCTGCATTGCAGGCAGATGCTTTACCATCTGAGCTACTAGGGAAGCCCCCAAATACTGTATGAATGTAGTAATTTTCAAAAACTCTTAACAGAGATGTTGGGACTTCCACCCAAAGGAAATTGATTTTAGGCCAATAAAACAATTAACCTTTTCTTCTCATTATTCAACAAATACTGATTGCTCGCCAGGTGGTAAGCACTGTCCTGAAAAAAAGGGTAAACCAATGAACCTACCCTCATGAAGCTTTTATGCCAGTGGGGGAGACAATGAACATGCAAAAAAATAAAGAATACAGTTACTATGAAGAAAATGAGGCAGGTTAAGAGGATATAATGAAAGTATATTTATGTGTGTCGGGTGGCTTCTTTTAGAAAGCCTAATCAGATAGGCCTCTCTGGGGAGGTGATATTTAAATTAGGTCTTAAAATTTTGTAAATGAGTCTGCCATGTACAGATTAGGCAGGAAAGTCAGTTCTACATCTGCAGTGTAAACAATGGGATATAGAAACTAGCTTGGCAGTTAAAGGAAGTATAAGAAGGCCAGCATGGCTGAAGCAGGGCAGAGAAGGATCTAAGGTCACAGGAATGCACAGGGCAAGATAACAAGGGGCTTTATGTCATAGTTCAGAGTGTGTGTTTTAAGTACCATGAGAAGAACTGTAGGGTATAACCTGGAGAGTAGCACAATCCAATTTACATGTCTAAAAAAATCTGACTGCCACCTGGAAAATGGACTATAAGAGGGCAAGTGAGGAGGCAGGGAGACCAATTTAGAGGCTACAGTCTCCCAGGCAAGAGACGATGGTGATTAAACAGGGTATAAGAGGAGTAAGCAGACGCTGGACTCAAAATTTATTTTTTAGCTGTAAGACATGAATTTAACAACATCTGCCTATTGGTTGTTTGTTACTTAGGGAACAACTATAGACAAATGACCTGATGTGGCAGAAGGAACACAGTCCCTCCAGGTACAAAGGCCTGGGTTAGAATCCCAAGGCTCCTCCACTCGGTAGCCATATGATGCTGAGCAAGCTACTTCATCTCTGTGCAACCTCTTGTGGGGAGGCAGGCAAGAAGGTGGTCAGTGCCAATGACTACAGAATTAAATGAAATCCTGTGCAGAAGGTACCTAGCAGAGATCCTGGCCCATGGTAAAAAATGACAGCCACAACTATCACAGGCTGCAGAGGCTCGAATGTTAGACACCGAAGTAAACTCAAAGACCTGTGGCAGATGAGGGCGCTTTAGGATTTTAAGTAACTCCTGTGAAATAACACAAGCATGCTGCTTGTGGCTGGGCTGGGACAATAAACACAAGAAATATATACTTAAAGGAGTCAAGAGTGTAGCAGCTTCTCAGTAAGCAAAGCCTTTCTCTCATTTCTCTGTCCTCTCTCCTTCCTTCACTCTCTCTCTCCCCATTCATCCCATCCACTTCTCCCTTCTCTTCCCTTCTTTCTATCATTTCATACATGTTTAATGACTACTTGCCACATGCCAAACCTTGTTCAAGGCACCAGGAACAGCACCAGGAACATAAAGGCAAACAAGTTAGACTCAGTCCCAGTCCTCACTGAGTCTATATTTTTCCAGGATAAAAAGAAATAAACACACAAAAATAATTGAAACTATTAGAAAGCAAACAAAAAGAGAAACCTACTTTAGGTAAAGCAGTCAAGGAATGATGTCTCTGACCAACTGAATTTAAGCTAAGACCCAATAAAATAAAGAAAAAGGGCTAGCCATTCAATGAGGAAACTGGAAAGATCCTAAAAGAGAAAAAAAGAGTTTGTTATGTTAAAAGAAAGTAAAACAGGACCAGTTACTTGAGTAGAGTAAGTGGGGGGAGAATTGGGGAGGGACCAGACCATGCAGGCCAAAGCAGGGAATTCGGGAACTCACTGAAATGATTCAACAGGAAAGTGAAATAGTTTGATCTGTGATTATTCTTTCAACAGTATGCAGTGGCCAGGCTGGGATGCAAGAACTTAGGTGGGGAGAAGAGTTACGAGGCTGCTGAAGTGGTCCAGATAGGAAGTGGTGGTGGTCTGGACTACAGTGGAAGCAGTCTGCCAGAGGAGATGAAGAGAAGGAAATGGATCCAAAATAGATTTTCACAGGACTTGCTGCTGGTAATAAGGGAGATCTAAGGGGGAAGGGAAAGACCAAGGATGATTTAAGTGTTTGGCCTGAATACCTGAGGGGATGGTAGTGCCATTTATTGACCAAAGGAAGAATGTAGTGGGAATAAAGGGGATCAAAGTTCCATCTCAAGCACAGTCAGTATGTGAGACAAGAAGGCAGCTGGGCATGAGTCTGGAGCCAGAAGAGATCTAGGCTGAGAGAAAGTGGCTAATTATTAGCATAATGAAGGTATTTAAATCCATGTGAACAAACAAGCTCATCTTAAGGGCATCATAGAGAAAGAAGAAAGACCAGGACTTGATTATTTACAAGTCTGGGAGAGAAGAGGAAGGAGCAGCCAGTGACACAAGAGGAAAACCAGAAAAGCAAGGTGTAACAGAGGTGAGAAAGAATTCTGGAGGGAGGGAGGAGGGAAGCAGGTGGAAACTACGTCAAAGGGCAAACTCCCACTGGATTGGCAACATGACTTTTCAGGTGACTTTGACAAAGTCAATTTTAAGTGAGTGCTGGAAGGCAGAAGTCAGAAGATAGTAAATTAAAGAGTGAATAGGAGAGGGAAATACAGACAGTGTGGCTCTTTTGAGACATTACTTTTAGGGGGACAGTGAAATGGAGTGGTCTCTGGAGGGGGAGTGTGGCATTAAGGAAGATTTGCTTTTGTTTTTAGATGAACATATCACAGCATGTTTGCCTGATGATGGTGATGAACCAAGGGAAAAGAGGAGAGAAGTCTTGAGAAGGTGAAGGGGGATAGTGGCCTGTGAAAGAGGAGACTCACAGAAGAAGAGATTAGATGGGAGTAATTCTAGATATGCAGGTCAAGAAGCAACAGTTAGAACCAGACATGGAACACTAGACTGGCTGCAAATTGGGAAAGGAGTACATCAAGGTTGTATATTGTCACCCTGCTTATTTAACTTATACGCAGAGTACATCATGTGAAATGCTGGACTGAATGAAGCACAAGCTGGAATTAAGATGTCAGAAAGCGGAGAAGAACTAAAGAGCCTCTTGATGAAAGTGAAAGAGGAGAGTGAAAAAGCTGGCTTAAAACTCAACATTCAAAAAACAAAGATCATGGCATCCAGTCCCATCACTTCATGGCAAATAGATGGGGAAACAATGGAAACAGTAAGAAACTATTTTCTTGGGCTCCAAAATCACTGCAGATGGTGACTGTAGTCATGAAATTAAAAGACACTTGCTCCTTGGAAGAAACCTATGAACAACCTAGACAGCATATTAAAAAGCAGAGACATTACTTTGCCAACAAAGCTCCATCTAGTCAAAGCTATGGCTTTTCCAGTAGTCACGTACGGATGTGAGAGTTGGACTATAAAGAAAGCTGAGTGCTGAAGAATTAATGCTTTTGAACTGTGGTGTTGGAGAAGACTCTTGAGAGTCCCTTGAACTGCAAAGAGATCCAACCAGTCCATCCTAAAGGAAATCAGTCCTGAATATTCATTGAAAGGACTAATGGTAAAGCTCCAATACTTTGACCACCTGACTCGGAGAACTGACTCATTTGAAAAGACCCTGATGCTGGAAAGACTGAAGGCAAGAGGAGAAGGAGACAACAGAGGATAAGATGGTTGAATGGCATCACCGACTCAATGGACAGGAGTCTGAGCAAGCCCCGGAAGTTGGTGATGGACAGGGAAGCCTGGCATGCTACATACAGCTCATGAGGTCGCAGAGAGCAAGACTCAACTGAGCGACTGATTTGAACGGAACTGAATTCTAGATAGGGCAGTAAGCCTTGGGATGGACGATGAGGGAGTTTGGGTCTAATAGCTTCTGTTTTTTCAACAAGGTACAAGGAAAAGTAACCAGCTAAGAAGGAAGGTCAAAGATGGTTTTGGAAAGCCTGTGTGTGTGTGTGCTCAGTCATGTCCGACTCTTTGAAACCCCATGGGCTGTAGCCCACCTAGCTCCTCTGTCCATGGGATTTTCCAGGCAAGAATACTGGGGTAGATTGCCATTCCCTTCCTCAGGGGATCTTCCCAATCCAGTGATTGAACCCAAGTCTCCTGTGTCTCCTGCATTGGCAGGTGGATTCTTTACCACTGCACCACCTGGGAAGCCCTTGGAAAGTCTAAGAGGTTGAAAAGTGAACCTACTAGAGGAGTCATATTAATATCACAATGAGGAGTGGAGGTACACTCCCGCCAAAGCTGAAATGCACACAGCTCTCAGACCCTGGCAGGCTACCTCATGTGTGCCTGCATGCGTGAGAAGTCACTTCCGCATGTCCAGCTATGCGACCCTATGGACTGTAGCCTGCCAGGTTCCTCTGTCCATGAGATTCTCCAGGCATATATACTGGAGTGGGTTACCGTGCTCTACTCCAGGAGATCTTCCAGACCCAGGAACAGAACCTTTGTCTCTAATATCTCTTGCATTGGCAGGAGGGTTCTTTATCACTGGCACCACCTGGGAAGCCCTAGGCTACTTCATACTTCCATCCATTTGCCCTTGCCACTCCCTGTGTCTGGAATACCCCTGTCTTAGCAAACTCCATTTTACCCTTCAAGATCCAGGCCAGGAAATTCTCTTTCTATGAAGCCCTACTAAATGTCAGCTTCTCAAGAATCAGATACCACGGCTTTAAAAAAAAAATCTTATTTATATCCCCAATTCTTGGCACACAATAGGTATTCAGTAAATCATGAATGAATGGAACTGAATTACACTGAATTCTCCCTTAGCTAAATTCTAATTTTTTCCTGTTCCATTGAGAGCAGAGTTATCTATGTTACACCATCTTTTCAGTCAAAAATCTGAATGAGTGGCTTAAAATCCTCCGCAAGCCAATTTCATTTTATTAATAGTCTAATTTTTCAGCCTTTACTCATAATCATCACTGTGCCTTTCTGCAAGCTTGCCACTGCTTCCTAATTGTATGTGATAAAATAATAATGAACACTTTTCAGTGTACGTACAAAGTATCTTGACACTTCACTGGGTAAAGTCCAGACTAGTTCCAACAAATCACAGATAATTATTTTGCTTGTGTTGAAAGCTTATCAAGCTAATGATTAACCAACTTTTGATCCAGATTAAGAAAAAAATTAATACATAAAGTTATAACAATGTTTTCTGGAAATTCTTCATATCTTACAATTTATATGATATGTGCCCTGCTTTAGGGAAACTGAACTTACACAAACTCAGAAAAGAGACTACTCATCTTAATGATGTCTTATGATGATGTCTTAATAATCAAAGTTTTTTTAGTAGAAACTGAAGTCTGACTATATTTTTTTATTTGGTTTATACATAAGTTTTCTGGAAGAAATCTAGTATATAAAATGTTAGAAGGGACTCTGAAGACTGTTTAGTATATGAATTCCTTCTATGCTTCCTGAAATTTTTATTCTAAGGCCTAGAACACAGGCATGTTTCAACAATGTCAAAGATCAACACACAGTAGCCAACAAAACAGGAAATTTGAACTTAGATAGATAAGGATTAGAAAGTTGGAAGGGACTTTGAGGGTTAACTATTTAGTGTATGAATTCCTTCTATGTTTCCTGAAATTTTCATTCTAAGGTCTGGAACACAGGCACTATTTAAACGTCAAAAATCAGAAGCACAGAATAGCCAAAAACCAGGAACTTTGTACTCAGATAGATGAAGGTTAGAGTCTTGACTGCTACCAGTTAAGACTCTTTAGATAAATTATTTTAACTGTGACCATCAATTTTTTCACTTATAAACAAGGTACAAATTTTTTTTTTTTTTGACTTGGTACAAAATTTACCATGTGCGCCTTTTATGAGGATTAAACAAAGACATGCAGACAAAACACCTAGTTTAGTCTCAGTGCTCATATCAGGCCCTCAAAAAGTGGTTGTTAAAGAACTCAATAACAAAAAGACAACCCAATTTTAAGACAGCCAAAATATCTGAATAGGTGTTTCTCCTAAGATATACAAATGGCCAATGAGCACATGACAAGATGATCAACACCAGTATCCGTTAAGGGAATGCAAATCAAAACAACGAGATATGACTTCATACCCACTAGGATAGCTAAAATAAAAAACAGACAATAACAAGTGTCAATGAGAATGTGAAGAAATCAGAACCCTTATAATGGACTATTATTCAGCCATTAAAAGGAATGAAGTACTACATTCCTTTTTATAACATGGATGAACCCTGAAACATTATGCTAAATGAAAGCAGCAATCACAAAAGGCCACATATTTTATGATTTCATTTATATAAAATGTCCAGAATAGGCAAAACCTTAGAGACAAAAAATAGATTAGTGGTTGCCAGAGCCTGCAAAAACTGAGGACAGGGAATGACTTGACTACTAATGGGTACGTGGTTCCTCTTCTTTGGGGGTATTAAAAATGTTCTAAAGCTAATTGTGGTGAAGAGTGCACACTTGTATGATATACTAAAAACCACTGAATGTACACTTAAAATGGTGAATTTGTGCCATGTGAATTACGTCCCAATAAAGCTGTTAAAAATATTCCCAGCTGGCTCTGGCTTCTGGTTTAGCATTCTCTTTCTTTTCACTATGCTGCCTCCTTTTTGAACAAAATTTTCCTAAGGCTGGTTAAGGTTGAAAGGTAATTACCAGCTTTAGCATTTTAAAGCCAAGTTATTAAAGCAAGGTAATGAGATACTTGGTGTCTTTAAGTACTAACACAATAAAATTGGGACTTTTTTTTACATGTACAATGTAACAGTTGCGAAAAGTCAGAAGGGTTCATCGCCAAACTAAATCCAGAACGCCACTTACCTGGCAGCTTCAGGAAAGCCCATCTTGTACAGCGTGACAACGGCAGCTCCTCCGAGGCCTAAATTATGCTGCAGAGCAACCTTTGCACCAGGAACTTGCCTTTTTCCGGCTTCCCCTCTCAGCTGCCAGCAGAGCTCAGCACACTGAGCCAGACCTAACAAATCGAACACAGAACAGTCAGATTCTCTTGGCTTAGAAAAGTGAAAGAAAGTGAAAGTCCCTTAGTCGCCTCGGACTCTTTGCGATCCCATGGACTGTAGCCTGCCAAGCTCCTCTGTCCATGGAATTCTCCAGGCCAGAACACTGGAGTGGGTAGCTGTTCCCTTCTCCAGGGGATCTTCCTAACCCAGAGATCAAACCCAGGTATCCCGCATTGCAGGCGGATTCTTTACCTTTTAAAGCCACCAAGGAAGCCCCAAGCCCCAATCAGCTTTCTCAAGCAAAGGAACAGCTAACATTTTAACTAACCCAATTTATTCAGCCAAGACCATGATTACCTAAGTAATAACTTCTCTTAAAAGCCTGGAGGGTTTCTGCAGCTAGTCATTTTTTCTCCCTGAATAATCTCTGTATTTAGAAGATAGGCAAGCTTAAGACATTAGGAAAAAGCAGTGGCCACAGGACTGGAAAAGGTCAGTTTTCATTCCAATCCCAATGCCATGCAATGCCAAAGAATGTTCAAAGTACTGCACAATTGCACTCATTTCACACACTAGCAAAGTAATGCTCAAAATTCTCCAAGCTAGGCTTCAACAGTACGTGAACTGAGAACTTCCAGATGTTCAAGCTGGATTTAGAAAAAGCAGGGGAACCAGAGATCAAATTGTCAACATCCACTGGATCATAGCAAGAGACTATGCTAAAGTCTTTGACTGTGTGCATCACAAGAAACTGGAAAATTCTTTAAAAAGAGATGGGAATACCAGACTACCTTCCCTGCCTCCTGAGAAACCTGTATGCAGGTCAGGAAGCAACAGTTAGAACCCAACATGGAACAACAGACTGGTTCCAAATTTGGAAAGGAGTATGTCAAGGTTGTAGACTGTCACCCTGCTTATTTAACTTATATGCAGAGTACATAATGAGAAATGCTGGGCTGGATGAAGCACAAGCTGGAATCAAGATTGCTGGGAGAAATATCAATAACCTCTTATGCAGATAATACCACCCTTATGGCAGAAAGCGAAGAGGAACTAAAGAGCCTCTTGATGAAGGTGAAAGAGGATAGTGAAAAAGCTGGCTTAAAACTCAGCATTGAAAAAACTAAGATCATGGCATCCAGTCCCATCACTTCATGGCAAATAGACTGGGAAACAATAGAAACAGTGAGAGACTATTGGGCTCCAAAATCACTGCAGATGGTGACTGTAGCCATGATAATTAAAAGATGCTTGCTCCTTGGAAGAAAAGCTATGACCAACTTAGATAGCATATTAAAAATCAGAGCTGTCACTTTGCCAACAAAGGTCCTATAGACATGAGTTTGAGCAAGGTCCAGGAGATGGTGAAAGACAGGGAAGCCTGGCATGCTGCAGTCCATGGGCTCGCAAAGACTTGGATATGACTGAGTGACTAAACAACAACAGCAAAGAAATTCCCTGTGCTCTTTAAATTTACCCAACCTGTCATTTTTTGGCAGTGTTGAAAGAGAAAACACTGAATATACAGTTCTCTGGCTGAGGCAAAAGAGCATAAAAATAATTTAATTTTACCATTCTTAATATATCAAAAGAATATAATCTAGGATTGGGAATTGGCTTCACCTAAAAAATTTAGCTAATATAGGAAATTTTCCTATTATTCTTCTCAAAAAGTTCCTAGAAAGAATGAGTTGTTTTACAGACCTATTCACAATAATAGCACCAGATTCATAAAAACTGCATTTTGTCCTCTGGATAATAAAATCAGATTTTTAGAATTAGGAAGAACTTACGAGCCCGCCCCCCCCCAAAACTGAGTTCCCTTTCTGAATTTAGGATTAATCTCTTTATCCAAAACTTGTCTCCTTTGCCCTCGATCCCTTTCTTGTCTCCTCAGTTCTCTGCTAACTGAACACTAGAGTCAGATGACTAAGATTACTGTTGTTGATAACACAGTTACTGCACTAAAACTGCTGCTGTATATACCATTATTAACATACAAACACAGGTTGTTTTTCCTGGCCAGATGAACTCACAGACCCCCAAGCCATGGACCACCTGCCCTGAGAATCATAAACCAAACACATTCTGACTCCCAAAACCATGATTGAAAAAATGTCACAAGATGATAATTAATTCCAGTCTTTGTCCTTCTGCTTTAAAACATCCCTAATTCAAAGACTAAGATGGAGTGGATCTGAAACTTGTTGCTCACTCTCTTTCATGTCACCCTGTAAATAAACCCTTACTTTGCTGCAAACACCCACTGTTAGAGTTTGGCTTTATACACCAAACCATGGGCATGTGGCCCTTGTTTAGTTAAAACATTAGCAATGAGAAACTGTAAGAAAACTGTAAGATTAAGTAATTTGTGAATGGAGACAAAGCAGGCTAATTCCAGAGTTGAGATAAGAATCCAGGTCTCCTGATTTACATTTGTTTTTTTCCCATACCAGCTTAAGAATGTTCTATCAAGAAAGACTGGTTTCTGAAGGCACAGCAAACAGGTCTACTTGTAATATCCGTTCTTACACCCACCCGCAATCACAGCGTCTGATTCCCAAGTACCTATGACAGTTTTCTTTCTTAAAAATTAAATTTACTTATTTTTAAATGAAAACAAAGATGAGCATTTTTAATGTTAAAAGGTACAATTCACAAAGAAGATAGACATCATAAACCACTAGACACCTAACAACAAAGAAACAAAGATACATAAAGCAAAAGTCAGAAGAAATAGAAGGGAAAAGAAAAATATATACAATCATAGTGACACATATTGACATTTCTCTGAGAATATTTTATCAAGTGCAGAAAAAGTAATGAGCATCTTGAATGATGTCATTAGTAGTTTAAACATAATAGATTTCTATTTATATTAATTTATATCAATCTTATATCCTACACAAATATATTTAAAATTTGGTATCTAATATATTGTTAATAGATGTCCATAGGACATTTAGAAAAACTGGCAAAAAGATAAACATTACTAAATTTTAAAAAGTAGAATTCTTTTTTTGTGTGATTCAGTTATACACATACACATTAGTTTTATTTTCCACTATAGGTTATTACAAGATATTGACTATAGTTCCCTGTGCTATACAGTAAATCTTTGTTGCTTGTTGCATATCTATTTTTTTAAATTAGAAATCTAGCATTCTATTCATACTAAGTCAAACAAGTGGAATCAAAATTTAGGCAAAAATTCATGTTTTCTAAAATATATATATTATACATATTATTTATATATATGTATACAAGAGTTTTTCTACTATGCTTGATAAAGTCTTGAGAAAGAACATCAAAAAAAAAAAAGAGATGGGGAAACTGGAAAACATAAGACAGTTTTCTATATAACTTCAACCTCCTCAGGAAATTTAACTGCCATTTCTCCTTTGTAGGCAATGTCTACATATTTTTACAGAATATATATTTTAAACATTGTTTTAAAATAGGTAATTCTATATCTTGGAATGATTTTTTTTGAATTGTGAATGAAATATTAAGGTCAAAGTGAATAATTCTAATATATCCAAACTCTGGAGCAATCAGCTTTACTTGAAATCTGCCAAATAAAAAGCTTAAACATTCATGAATACATAAGATAAAAAAACAGTATTCAAACTGGTCTTCTGAATACACGGGTGGGGAAATAGGGCCAGTACTTGTCCCAAAAGAATAAACATACATAGTTTACAAATATTTGAGAAAAACACTCAACTTCACCTTGATCAAATAGAAAGATACCACTTTAACCAATCTCATTAGTCAGGATGTTTAAAAAATGGAGCTTATCAATGCTGTGGAGACTATGGCAACAGTCACCTTCAGACACTATGGATAATAGTTCAAACTGCCACAATCTTTTTACAAAGCAAAGTACAAAATTATTAAGAGCATTTAAAATGCTTTGAAAACCATTCTATGAAAATAATCAAGCATAGGAAAAGTCTTACACACAAAGCTATCTGTTCATCACATTCTTAGAACAGTGGAAAACTAGATATATACAAGCGAAATAACTGTGGCATAGTTATATAAAGTATGATCTATTCATATGACAAAGTACTATATTTGAAATAAGTTTACAAAAATTTTAAAAATTTAGGAAAATGCTTATGATATAATCTTAATAAAAAATGCAAGGAACCAATTAGATATTTATCCACCCATTCATCCAACAAATATTGACAGAATGCCCTTTATGTGCTGATATTGCTCAAGGCTCAGAAGATCTAATAAATAAGATAGGCATATAAAGGAACACAGCCTAGTTAGGAAATAGAAAGTTAAGTAATGAGGCTAGAGGATATTCAAGACAGCCAATGAGAATGATAGAGAAGAGGGTGGAGAGGGTGGGGAGGGACAGAGAGAGAGAGAACATGAACGCACTGGAAGCACCAGATATTGCAGTCATCTCAGTCACACCTACCACTGACATTTTAGAAGATGTGGTACACTGCATTAAATCTCCACTCATGATTTGCTTAACTCACATGTGGCAAGAAAAGAAGGAAGGAAGGAAGGGAATAAAGATTGATGTTAACTTATTTATTTTCTTTTAACAAAAGATGACTGACACTGAGAAAACATACTAATTATATGAGCTTTCTGGTTATCTGCTTCAGAATAAGCTGGCACTTCTCATACTTCTAGAATCTATAATAGATCTGTAAAGGGTGGAAGTCAAAAGCTGGCCTCAGAAATCCATTTGCCAAGAAGGCACAGCGGACAATTACAAAAGCATTTACATGAGTAACTTTTTTTTTTTTTTAAATTTTCCTTCCTTGGATAATTTCTGGCACTGAATTGAAAACCATACCTTTCTTCTCCTTGGAAAAAAATAAGACTATCAAACATGAACATGATACATTTATAAACTGTGAATGGGCACAGGAATAGGCATCCTGTCAAAGAAGTATATTCAAATGGTAACATACTTCTTAAAATCTCTTGTGAAGGAAAAAAAATTTTTTTAACCTTATTACCTCATTTTACTACCATCTTG